CTTGAAGTAGCTGCAGAACTTGTGATTTTTCTCTAACATGGCCAACCCCAGTCTCACATCTCTGTGATGCTCTGCTTCAAATATTTTCCCCTCTTCCCATGTGTCACATACTCGTTCCCATAGACAGTGTGAGGAGAGACAGCTGACCCGACTTCTCTTTCATGGCTTGTGAGCTGCCTTTGTCATGAGTTCCTTTTCTTTCTTCCCTGCTAGGTTATGATTGTTGAGAGTGAATCTGGAGCAGTCCAGTGGGAGCTGATGCTGAACTCAGGGCCAGGGAGCCCTGGCCCAGCCACCCTTCCCACTGCAGATCACCGCTCTGCCTTCCTCATGTGGGGAGACTTCCAGGAGCCAGGCAATGACACAGTGAGTGCTGGGGGCTGCTCTTCTCCAGGCTTTGGGCCAGAATTGGGTGCAGTTACCCCTTTCTCAGTGCTGATATTCCCACTGACCCTGCAGCCTCATGCACTGGCTGTGGGATCTGTGTCCCTGCAGGTGGTGGTGGCACTGGCAGCTTTTGTCATCCTCAGCCTGGTTATGTAGAGAAAATGAAATTGGTGACTCTGTGAGCAAAGTCACTGCCCTGCCTTGGTGTGGCACTGTCTGTGAGGTGGGAGGCTTCTGGCCTGGTACCTCTGGAGTTGCTGCTGTTTCCCTGGGAGCCACATGAATATCCTCTGTGTGCCCCAGGCAGCCTCAGTGCACAGCTCAGCTGCTTGCAGGGCGCTCAGGGCAGTGACAGGCAGCACTGGTGACAGTTTGTGTCTCAGAGGCTGCTGAAGCACCAGCTGAACTTCCTCTGCTTTCCTTGCTTGCTCTGCCAGCCCTGAGGCAGAAATCTGTGTGCTCCCTGCAGCAGACAGGCCAGCTATTTGCAGGAAGCTCAGGGTGGGAAGGAGAGCAGTGAGCAAAATCCCAGCTCTTGTCCTGATGGCATTGGTCAGGCTGAGCTGGGCTGACACAGACAAGTGTCTGGCTGGGTGTGAGTAGTGCTGAGCCTGGTGCTGCTGCTGTCTCTGGGATAAGGTGTGAGTGTGTGTCCTGTTGGTTGCAGAGACCCAGAGCTCCTCTCCAGAAGCTCTACCTTTTCCACCCTTCCTACACTAACGTCGTCTTGGAGCTCCGCAACAGCACCGACCAAATCATTGCGTTCACTGGTGAGTCCTCTCCTTGCAGCCCTCCAGAAGGAGCTGCAGGAGGACCCTGGTCCCTCCTGGTCCCTCCATGTCCCTGTGGGGAGGTGGGTGTGGTGGCCAGCCCGGCGCAGGAGGCTCAGGCTGTGTTTCTGTGTGCGCCTGTTGCAGCGGCGCTGTTCGAGCGCAGCCGTCACGCCTGCTACGTGCTGCTGCGGGGTCCCCAGCCCAGTGAGGGGCCAGGCCCCGTGTCCCTGATGAAGAGGAAGCTGAAGGAGGATGTGGCAGTGAGCAGGGTGCTCTGGCTGCGCCGCACGCCCGGGGATGAGGAGCAGCACATCCGGGACCGCCTGTACAGGATGCGATTCCAGACCCGAGACTGAGCTGAAGGGGAGCAGGAGAGGCTGCCCTGCTCTGCAGCCCTGCTCTCAACAAGCCCAGAGCCTGCAGTCCCATGGCAAGCTGCCTTTCTTGATCCACAAACCAAAGTGGGGCTGGCAGGGAAGCACCCCCAGTGTCCAGGGACACCCAGGCTGTGTCCGTCCTCAGAGCTGATGGGACTTCAGTGCTTGGCCACCACTGAAGTGTCATCAGCTCGGGGAGGAGGGCTTTCCCCTCCGTCCCTCTGTGCCCACAGAACTCTGCTGACTCAGGAGTGTCTCTGGAGGAAAACGTGTGCTTGCTGAGGTGCCAGAATTGATGATTTCTGGGATGCCTGAGAAGTGGAGTTGGATGTCTGGGAAGTGGAGTTTGCTGTGTGGTGTTAGATTTCCTTTCTGAGTCAGCTCTCCTGGCTGGGGAGGTGCTTGGCTGTAAGTTGATTTGCAATTACCCTCTCCTGGATTTGCTTCTGTAGTTTGGGGGTGTTGTGGTGACCCCAGCCGTGGCTGTGGTGTGTCTGGTGTCACTTGGGCCAGCAAAGCACAGGTTAAAGTGTCATCCTACTTAGCAAATGGCCTTTTCTCCCAAGAACAGCCCCATGTGTCCTGCTCTGCAGTCACCAGCCTGCCTGTGTCTGTGTCCTCTGCTGCTTCCTCTTCAGCCAGGCTGTGCAGAGTTGGTGGCACCAGGAGGGAGCTGGTCTCCCACCTGATGGATGCATCAATGTTCCTCCCTTCCCTCAGCCTGCTTATAGGTGGTGAGAGATCCACCCTGAGCCCAGGCTGGCTGTCCCTGGAGGTGCCACCACCACCACCTCTCCAGCTTTAAGGAACCAGAGGATCTGGCTTGAGTAGAATTGCACTTTAACCTTTTCTTGGAGCTGGGATTGCTGCTGTGGGAAGCCCTGGCAGTGCCAGCACCCTGCTCACTCAGCCTTGCAGCTGCTGAGGAGCCTTCTCCAAGCACTGTTCCTGCTGCCAGGAGGAGGGCAGGAGCTCTGTGCTGCCTCCCTGCCCTTGGAATTGGAGTGATGCTGGGTGAGGATCCTCAAGCACTCTCCTCCCTGCCCAGCCTGCTGTCCTGAGGGGATGGGACAGGTTTCTGTGTGAAGATGCCATGTTTCTCCTGGAGATCCATGCAGCACCATGAGGTGTTTGCTCTGCCCTGTCCTGATGGGTGCCAGTGCAGGCTGTAGAAACAGAGCCTTGAAAACATTTTGAACCAGCTACTCAGTCCTGAAAATAAAAAATAGACCTAAAAATAACCTCTCTCAGGCTCTGCAGTGCTGGAGGGGGTTTGGCCAGTGCCTCCCTCCCTTGCTGAGTCTGACCCTGGGGGATGTGTAGAAACACTGTAGGATGGGAATGTGCAGCATCAGGCATCAGCTCCTCCCTTCAGCCCCTGCTGGGCTGAGTGTGCCAGCTCAGAGCACAGCCCCAGCCCTCCCAGGCTGCCTGGGCACCTCCTGTCCCAGCTCTGTCTCCGTCTGCCCCACACCCTGGGCAGTGAAGGGAGCAGCCCTGGGGTGTGTGGCTGTGCAGGGAGCCAGGGGTGCTCTCTGCAGATGCTCCACAGCCTTCAGAGCACCCTGGGCTCAAAATGTTGGGCTTGCCCCTCTGCCTCTCTTCCCAGCTGTTTTCTGAGGAGTGCAGGAAGGTTTCCCAGCTGTGTTCCCCAGCTTTGCTCTTTAGGCCTGACAGCCCCCCTGTGTCTGTGCCAGTGTTGCAGCCATGAGAGGGCTGCCCTGAGGCTGCCCTTGGCCAGCTGGGGCAGGGCACAGGGCTGGGCACAGGGCTGGGCACCCCAGGCTGGCACTGCAGCCCAGCCTGAGTGCTGGGTCTGGGTTGTTTCCTGCTGAGATTCCCCTGGGCGGGAGCACGGGGAATGCCTGGGCTGTGTTCTCATCACACTCTCCCTCCTCAGATCCCTACCCAGACCTGACCTTCCCATAGGCACACTGAATGTTCCTTGAAGAGAGCTGGATTTTCAGCTTGGAGGAGCTTTCCTGGCTTTAAGTTGTCCAGAAATGTTTCTGGACAGTTTGGAAACGCAGATTTCGCTGTGGCAGCTCAATTAAACGCATCAGTGCCAAACCAGCACCTTCTTAACAAAACCAGTCTGTTTCCAGCTTGTTTCCTGTGTAATTGTTTTTTTTTTTTTCTTTTTGCAGTATTTGATGAATGACTTTGTGCCTTGATTCAATAACTCAGCTGGGTGGCAATGGCTATATCACTGTGTTATGTGTTGGTGTGGTTTTTAACACTGAGACTGTTTGGTTTGGTTCTTTAACTTATTGCAAGTTGTGCCCTACAGGACTCGCTCTAACCAGAATGGTTTCAATAAATCCTCTTTTGCATTGTTTGTAAATGGTGCCTTGCTTTGATGTCGGAGGTTACACAGGATTTGGGATTTTTTGTCAGCCCTTTGAGTGACCTCCTCAAGGCAGAACCCCCTTCCTTGGGAGGGATCCAGGAGTCCTGGTGATGCTTTGATGGCTGAGCTGCTGCCCTGTCCTGCTACAGGCAGGTGATGGAGCAGGAAAAGGGAGAAGGCAGCGCGTGGAGAGAGGCTGCAGTTAGATAACGAGGCCGGGCCAGCCCGTCCCTGCCCCCCCGGGGCTCTGTGACCTGGTTTTACACCCCAGATTCCCTCTGCAGTCCATCAGCACGAAAATCTCATGCCGGGGTTTGGATTTGGATCAAGCCAGAGGGAGACGCGTGGCGGGCGCTGTCTCCTGGAGCCGGGGCCATCTGTCACTGCACCCGGGGCCCAGCTCCACCCTGGCACCGGGGCTCCAGCAGCTTCCCCTGCCCCAGCAGGGAGCTGAGAATGCCCCTCGCTCTGTGCCAGGCTCTGCGGCAGGGCAGGATCACCCCCAGCATGCCAACCTCCCATGTGTGCTAGCCGGGATCCAGGATGGCACCTCCTTGTCCCTTTGGGGCTGGAGCTGTGCCCAGCTCTGCCCTGTGGGTACGTGTGGAGCAGGCTGGGCTCCAGGGCTGAGCACTGCTGGCCATCAGCCCCCTCTGCTTTATGTAACCACCAGCGATAATCCTGTGCAGCTGGGGCTGTGCTCCCGGCCGGGGAATAATCCTGCCCTGCGATCCCCAGCCTCGCTCAGATTAACAGCCATGGATAGCAGAGTGGCTCAGCTGCCAGCCCTGCTCCTGGTGCCCCTGCCAGCCCACAGGGCCATTCCAGAGGCCTTTTGTCCCTGCCGGTGTGTGGGTGGCACACCCTGAGTGCCAGCTGGGCCGTGCCAGGCTGGTGCTGCCCCTGGGAGCCTCAGGTCGGTGGGTGCTGGCTGTGCCATGGCAGATCTGGTCCCCTCCCGGCCCTGCACCCTGGCTGGCTGCTGCAGGCATGGCAGGACATCGCTTCCAGCCCAGAGAACAGCTCACAATCCAGAAATGAGCAGCACTTTGTGCCTCTCCCACCCTGCCGACACCTCCCCGGCCCCGGTCCCCAAGAACCACGGGAGCCTGCGGTGTTTCCCGTGGGGTTTTACTGTGCCCGGGCTGGGGAGCAGGGGTGACCCCGCACCAGGCCGGCTGGGTGCGGCTCCCCGAGGGGGGACAGGGGCTGCGGGGATGTGAGCGGGGTCAGCCTGGCTCCGGGGGGTTATGGCTTTTCTCCTTCAGTGCTACTGCCGGCAGGGGCTGGCTGTGCTGGGTCGGGGCGCTCCGGAGCTCTCAGCTCTCTCAGCTCTCCTCCTCGGGGACCGGGGCCGTGGAAGGGCTCCTGCTCCTCTCCTCGGCATCGCCCGCGGGCAGCAGCAGCGCCGGGCTCGGGCTGGAGTGCCGCTGTTTGCGCATGAAGGGGAAAACGCTGCGGGCAGAACGGGGTCAGAACCGGCGGGGACCGCCCCTGGTGGCCCCAGGGACAGCCCCTGCCCTCACCGCTTCTTGGTCTCCGGGGGAATGACGGCCTCGGCCAGGAGGTTCTTGTAGAGGTCCGACTTGAGGAAGCGAGGGTAGGAGTCCTGGGCGAGCAGAGAGGTCAGGATCGATCCTGCCCAGCCCTGCTCTGCCCAGCCCCGCCCTCACCCACCTTCTTCATCAGCATGTAGATGTGCATCTGCGCATCATCCATCACGTAGCGATGGGGCGTCTTGATGCCCTCCAGGGTTCTCTCCATCGTCTTGCTGTCGATGTTCACCCAGCGCGTGGCCCCGGGCGCCAGGAACTGCCTGGGGAGCCACAAACGTGCTGAGCCCGGCCCTGCCGTGGGCAGAGCACCAGGATGGCCTCACCAGCCCCGAACCTTCCTCCCGAACCCGGTGACACTCACTGGTAGATGGAGTCCACGATCTCGGCGATGCGGGACTGCTCCCCGTAGCGCAGCTCCTCACACGCCTCCCAGAAACTCAGGTTCTCAGCTGGGGAGGGGACACGGTGCTGGGAATGGGGACACTGGGCACCCCTCATGGGCAACCCCAAAGGCCACCATGGCTGGGCATGTGTCCCCGTGGGACAGGGAGAGCCAGCTGGGGCAGGGAAACTGGGGCAGATAGCTGGGAGGTACTGGGATGTGGTGGGGCTGAGGAATGGCAGGACACAGCAATGGGTTGGTTTGGGGGTGTTGGGATGGGGCAGTGGATTAGGCACTAAACAGGTTTGTGGTGTTGGGATTGGGCACTGGATTAGGCACTAAACGGGTTTGTGGTGTTAGGATGGGGCAGTGGATTAGGCACTAGTGGGACACGGTGGGTTTGGCAGTGCTGGGTCAGAGTGGTGGGTCTGGGGTGCCAACCCAGAGGTGTTTCAGGGCTGGGGCTGGCCCCCCTCACCACTGAACTCCTTCTTGAGGAACTCCAGGAGCTGTGTCCGGCCCAGGGGGTCGTTGATGAGTTCACTGAAGTTGAAGCCCCAGCGCTCCACGCGCAGCTTTGTGGGGGTTGTCACTCTGTAGGTGAGAGTGGCACTGGGGCTGGCAGCCCATGGCAGCCTGCATGACCCCACAGACCCCACAACCCTGCAGATTGGGGTTCTGGGGGGCTGGGGCACTTACGTGGGGGCATTCATGGCCCAGTACGTGGTGTCATCCGTGATCCAGGGGTTGCTGGGCAGGCAGCCGGACATGATGGGGTCGTGGGGCACATACTGCTCGTTGAACTTGATGTACCTGCCAGGAGTGGTGGCTGGAGGAGACCAGGGCCACCAACCCCAGCCACCGTGGGGACATGAATGGGACGTGGCGGGGATGTGCCTGAGCTGTGCAGAGCCTCAGCCCCACTCCCTGCTCAGGGCTGGGGTGCAGAGGTGCCAGCACCAGCTGCTGGGGTGTGGGTGCCCCTGTCACCCTGGCAGGGACCCAGCCGTGGCTGGGGCAGCTGCTGCCACTCACCCCTCAAGGCAGATGGAGGATTTCACCCTGGTCCTGGCCATGGCCTTCTTGCAGTACTCGATCTGGGGCCAGGCACAGGGCAGATGTTGGGGTGCCTGGCAGCTCGTGCCCCCCAGAGCTGCCCCCACCCCTGGCCCCACTCACCTCTCGCTTGTAGTAATCCATGTTCTTGGTCTGCAAAAGATGCACGGGGCTGGGTGAGGGCATGGTGGGGCTGGGACATTGTCCTGCCCCACCACCCTGGACAATCCAGGCAACCAGTCCCCCACCCCGGGACTCTGTATCCCATCCCCGTGGCCTCCAGCCTCATTCTCCAGCCCTCCTGGGGCAGAACAGCCCATGGAATGAACCCTGGCTCCCCCCCTCCACACCCCAGTGTTACACCAGCCCCGGGTTAGTGACACTTACGTGAGCACAGGACACGGCACACGGCGCAGAGAAGAGAAAGTGGGTGGTTAGCGAGGGCAGCCTGGGGGTGCTGGGGCAGCATTAGTGGGGTCACAACACCGGGAAGGGCTTGGTGGCTGCTGCTGGCACCCCAGGGCTCCCTGCAGGGACCAGAGGTGCTGGCACAGAGGGATTCTGGTGCAAGGACAGACACACGGACCCTTCATGCTCGGGGTGGGGGACACACGGATGTTAGCAGAGCTGGGGCTCACCCCTCACCCCAAAAGGGGCACAGTGTGGGGTGAGCTGGATGGGCACCCACCGAGGCAGCTCTTCCCCCTGGCACAGGCACTGGGTGTGCCCTGTGCCCGCTGGGGTGCCCGGACACCCCACTCACCAGCTGCACACGGGTGGTGTGGCAGTTCCTGCGCTCGGGACCCTGCTCCAGCACGTTGGGGGCTCCTGGCTGCAAGGACAG